GTATGTATGTATGTATATACATATACATATATATATATATATGTGTGTGTGTATAACGTAAAGGTTTGTATGTGTATCTATATAATTACATATGTGCGTGCCTTTGTATTTGTGTCCGTGTTATTATTGAGTTTATATATATATACATAAATATGCGATCAAGATTTCTTTGTAGTTTATTCCGATTTATGTGGATACGTACGGTTGCTAGATGGAAGCTTACATCGCACTATTCTATCGGGATATATCTCATATTGCGAGGTACGTATATAGAATGTGTTTTTGTGCATATGCCCCCACCTGCTAGAGATCTTCCTGGATTGTATCTCATATAGTATTTTGTATCTATTTGGTATGACTGATTCATTAAAATTCATTCGATACGACAAGCACAATCCGCAGAAACCATTCATCTTGCTCAATCCAGAAGCTCCGGGTATTATTTCTATCACCCTTGTTGTAACTGATATTTTCGGATGACTCATGCGCTTTTATTCATATTCAGGATGTACTTCAAGTAGCGTCACTTGTCTTTGCCCACAACATGACGGATCACTACAGGTGTGTGTGTTACACGCTGATATATGCAGAGAAAGTATAATCTCTTTCAGGCGTGCTCGGGTTATGGTACATGCTGCAACCTGATTTATGTCTATAGCATATTAGTTTAAAGATATGTATGCGTGTGTGTTTGTGTATGTATTTAATCTGTGAGCGCGTGACTAGATATATATAAATGTATTAATATTTCCAATATATATGGTCAAAACGTGTTTAATTACATGTGCTTGCTTCCGTTTTTTATACTCATATGAGCGTTAAAGGTACATACACACATCTGTATTTGCGATTTCTCTGTGTTGCACCTTAATTTAAAGCTCTCGACAAACTGAGCTCGGCTTTTGACTGTGCCGTAATGGCCTCAACATAACAATTGCCCTATTGTATGTGTGCGATTAATACACGCTTCTCTCGGACCAATCCTGTCTTTCTACATCACACAACCCACTTCGGTACTTGCTTGACAATACCATGGCTCCATTGTTGTCATTGTCCTCACACAAGCTTGCGCATTGGATTGATATCTTGTCCTGCCAGTATTCAACCTACGGCACCCCCACCAGAGGGTGCAGCACAGGCAGCTAGTGCGTCCATTGAGCACAGCCTAATTGAGTTTGAAGAGATGTGTGATAATGTATACACCCTGGTACTCCAGACGCGCAATCGTCTCTTGGCCCGAATCAACGATGACTACGGCCTGGGCTACGATGTCAGCGCGAACAGTCCGGCGCAGGTATCACTTGCACTGGCTATTCGTATACACACCCACGTGTATGCGTTAACGCTGTGTGTTTTATTCACTCCTCTCTGTGCATTGCCGTGATGAAGTAGGCCGAATACTGTCCCTTACATGCTGCTGTGAAGGTTCTGATGCTGGGTGTATCTGTTGACTGTAGTGGTCCGCAGATGTCGTATTGACAAAGACAAACACATACGAGTGCATCTCGCACACCTGTATGCATCTTGCACACTTGCATGCATGCACGTGTTTGTGATTGGTTTACTGTACTCATTCATTGTATACGAAGTAGTGGTTGTGTACCCCACTAACATGCAGATGCACATTCAAATAGAGTACTATACTGTTACTGTAAGCTCCCATACTCAAATAGACCTACCCGCACCCAGGCGCCTCCCACGAGTGTGAAGAAAGAGGCAGGTGCCACAAGCACAACAGACGACAAGATCATGGCAGACGACAAGTATCTAGCTTACTGCGCCACCATTCTGTCACAGGTATTCCATATCTCTTCCCGTGTGGTGCATCTATGATTGTATTTTTTTTCTGATTTACGTATATATATGTGTGTGTGTGTGTTGTGTGTGTGTGTGTGTGTGTGTGTGTGCATGCGTGTGTGTGTGTGTGTATGCGTGTGTGTACACGTGTGTGTGTCTGTGTGTCTGTGTCCGTGTGTGTTTGTGTCTATGTCTGTCTGTGTGTCTGTGTCTGTCTGTGTCTGTGTCTGTGTCTGTGTATGTGTATGTGTGTGTGTGTGTCTGTGTGTCTGTGTCTGTGTGCTTGTATGCATACCAAACGCCACAGACGGCAAGTAACTGGCTTGCTGTGCCACCGTTCTGTCACATGTACCCCATGTCCCTTCCCGTGTGACGCATTTATATTGTATGTTTATATTCAGATAAATATACATTAATGAATACACTTATAAATATATAGTTACACCACGCACAACAAACAGCAAGACAATGGCAAACGGCAAGTAGCTTGCCTACTGTGTCAACATCATTTCCCAGGTTGGGCTTATTCCATCCTTGGTGTGCTATTACAGTTGCCAGATCCTGAGTGCATACTTATAGTTACCTGAGTCTGAGTGTATCCACGGTGTATTTCATCGGTTTGTCCGGTCTGTTCCCTGAACAGATGTGTTACACCACCAACAATCGATATGCCGGTGCCCGCGGAAGCACCTCACCTTTGACACCCATTACTCTACCACACTCACCCCAACTGTGAACATATGGTGGACTCGTACAACTAATAACTGTACGTATAAAATGCAGAGCACGCACAATTGACATACCATCCACACCTTCACCATCATCAGGTGACGAGTACGATGGTCGTCATAGACAAACTCACCGAGTTCGTCAACAATACCACGTGAACTTTCCATACTGGAATGCACACATGTTGAGTTGTGCGTAGCATCGTACCTTGTTCGACCCCTCGTAGCTGCTGCCTGGCCTGCTTTACCCCAAGTCGGTCCGGCGAGGACAGCATCAGCTCAGTACGTCGATAACGGATATATCAGACCAACAGTGTATGTCACTGGGACTCTCAGGCTATAGCACCTGTGCTCTTCTATATAGGGTGCACTCGTGTCCAAATGTGCGGGACAAGGTGCCGCAACCAGGGCCGTCGACGCCCCGTCTTAGGCACTTTTCAGCCTTTTCTTTAACCCCAGGCTAAGGGGCAGCGCAGTAGGTATACCAGCAGGTCAACTGGGGCTCACCTTGAGGTACGACGCTTGAGCACCTTTACGCGGTTGAGCGCTGAGTGACTGAGCTGGTTATACGGTCCTGTCGAATACGCAGTCCTCTTGCGCACTCCTCCCACTGTATCTGCCTCGCGTTCGCAATGTCACGTCGCGACAAAAGGGACGTGAGCTAGCAACCACAATTAAACCTGTATGGATTCACCGCTCGTGCGTCCGATGGCCCTATGGCGTAATTAGAATAGAGATAGTATATACGAAATGATGCACAAGTATATTCTCGTAGGTTTTGACCTCGCTGTTCAACGGATTCACCCATCCATAAACCTCTTGCACGCGCTGAATGGATTGCTCGTGAAATTTCCCCCCCCCCCCCCCCCTCTGGGAGAAGTGAAAAATATTAAACCGAGAATCTTTGCAGTTCACGACCAGCCGTTTGCACAGAGTTTCACGCACGAAGTTGCAAATGGTACATGGGTTATTTATCGCTCTGTGGCTCTTAATGAAGGACGCGTTTGGATGTATGTGCGTTTCTTCCTTTGAGTCAGAACACACCTGTACAGGCTTTGATGTATTCTCTCTTGAGGCATATGTCCGAAACTAGCCCGTCCGTCTCAAACACTTGGACATGAATAATACGAACAGCACTTGCATCAAGGCCCAACGGGGATATCTTTGACCTGTAAATATTCAAGAATGCTATCTCTGAGTTTCTAGGATCCAAACCATCGGCTCTTTATTGCATAGCCTTGTGTTCTATTTAGGGTCGTTCTTAACGGGAAGATAGGGAACATAGTAAAAAGGGTTTTCTGGAGGGGTGTTCTTTAGGATTTTCAGGGTTCCATAAATACCTTATGTACCCCCCACTGACACTCCCAGTCCACCGCAGGCTACTGCGGCACTGCCCCAGCGTAACTGAGGGCTTGGGGACTTGGGCCCCGTTCCTCTTCTTTTTTTCCTTTTATTTATTATAAAAACAAAACAAGGATACCAACGTATTAACGTAAACGAAATGAACTTGAATCCGTTTATACGGCTCAATAGACTGGAGAAAAACTACTTATTGTCCGAAATAAATGGACAGCCTACATAGTGGGTAATAAGTCTTTTTGAAAACCTTGAAATTCAGGACTCCGAAAATGCACCCACATCAACTACCGGAGGGCCACCAAGCTGTAAACGTTGAACGCAAATGTTTATATGTTCAAAACATTTTACGTTTTAACAAAACGTATGGAGGATAGGAGTGAAGTCCACTATAGGGAGACCACAACTTGAACTGATGTCCGAATTGATTGTACACGTGAGCCAAATAGGCCAAAAAATATAATTTATAAAAAGTATAATAGAACAATAAGCGTTGTAGTAGTAACACAGCATATACTTCCACCTGGTTCCTCGTTCGCTTCGATTGTTTGTGCGCAGTCCGTGCGAATTCAACCTCATCTCATCTCTCAACCTAAGTAAGTAGTACACATACACAAACCAGAACGATGGACGTGGATATGGTAAATGAGGCTGATATCCTCGCCGATATGAAAGCGCAGATGGACCAGGCTGACAATGAGTCGTCCATGAATGTGGATGCACCTGTCTTCACTCCACTCTCAGCAATCGAACTGAACGTAGGTCTTTTTGTGCTTATTGGAGTCTGTATAAATAACGTGTGTGTACATCTTTATCATATATATGTGTGCTCCTCTGGCTCATGTATCAGTGAATGCACATACATACTATACGGTTTGCTTTTCGTATAATTTCTTGCTGAGAGAAAGCACCACCATCGTACTGTTAAGCTTATATATAACATAGTCTAATTGTGTGGATGCTTGCCGTTTAGTGTGAACTGTCTCGATTTGGCCCGTGTATTTTTGTCACGTACTTGTGTGGTTTGCACAGTAAAAAAAATGACCATGATGTTTAAATCTGATCTGCTCGTACGTGTCCATAACTTCTTCTTAAAGTCACAAGTATCTGTACGTGTCTTCTTATACGTCTGTATATATTGTATATAGATGCATGACGGCAGAGTTAACCTGCGTAATTGTACATATATAGAGCCACATATCGACGTATAACTATATTGCTGCTGACCAAGTTATTTTGTTGAATATATTTTTGTGGTACCTTGGCGTTTTATTACTATCCTATTAGACTTCTGGATTTTCAGAAGCATATTTGAGCTATATAAATGTAAATCTCAGTATGCGTATATATGTATGCTAGAAGAACTCGTGTGCTGGATGGATACATTAACAGTGAATAGCAACAGTTCTCATCAGAATCTCTAGCATATTCCACCCTGTTTTATTTGCTTTTTAATACATCTTAGTATAAGGTGGTAGAATTCCTGGCCTTGGCTTGTGTTGCGTAAAAATGTATGACTTTTTGAACTCGCGTGCACCGATTTTTCGCCTTTGTGTGTATGAAATACTGTCCGTATACTTTGTTCTCAATTGCTTCAACTCAATGGTATATAGCAAAATAGAGTATCTGGGACACAAGTTCTAGGCGCAAAGTCTATCGATACCGTAGTTTGTCCGCATTCAAACGTTACACTAGGTGTGACACCCCGAGATAGTATGCATATCTAAGAAGTTGTTGATAGTTCTATATCACACTTACAAACGCATCGATGTTCATATATATATGAAGGCAGGGTTGCCTGAAATATACACATTCGATTTTGCTATAGTCGTCCATCGTTAATCAGCTGCGCTGTTGTGAACCACTATATATTCATCAAAACTAATTTTGTGCCTGCAGGACGGTGAGAAATCAGAGCGCCGCGTACAGGTACCAACACACCGCATGACGCCACTCAAACAGCAATGGCTCAAAATATACACACCACTTGTGGAGCATATGAAGCTACAAGTTCGTATGAACCTGCACACGCGGAAGGTGGAGCTGAAGGTACGTGCATGTGTGGTTGTGTCTGTCTATAGTTCAGTAGTGTGAAAGCTGTATGCGTTGCTTTACATTTCGATGTTTTGGTAGGTTGATAGTATGCGTACGTTATCAATCATCGTACTGATTGATATACACATACCTGTGTAGTCGATTTTTTCCTGGATGTGAGGCTGTATACACGATAAAGCACAATGAAGTGATAATTCATAAGGTATATCAGTTCTCAGGATACAAACCCGACATCGAGGCATGCATCTCGTATTTTCCATACAAATGATTAACACTTTGCACCCAAAAAAATCGCAGACATCAGAATTCACTACTGACGTGGGAGCCCTGCAGCGAGGTGCCGATTTCCTTAAAGCCTTCATGCTGGGATTTGACGTGGATGATGCACTAGCGTTACTCCGATTAGACGACTTATTCATCGATACGTTCGATGTAAACGATGTTAAGATGCTAAAAGGGGATCACTTGTCCCGTGCTATTGGTCGTATTGCCGGAAAGGGAGGTAAGTTGATGCCAACTCGTATATGGTTTTACTGCTGTCTATTATCATTTGCTTATATATATATATATATATTCTTCGATACTTCCACATAATCAACTACTTGCATTGGGCTATGACAAAATTGTTGCGCTTTGCATATATGTAGATCGAGTTTCCTTGCACAGCCGTGTGATACTGCTTCTGGCTGTCCCCTGAATATCTGATTTGTATTATTTTTCCCTATCGAATTAGAAAATCAGCTCTATAGCATGCTGTATTTATGTGATAATATGTCCCCTTTCGGAGATATTGTAACATCAAACATGTTCGCACAATCTATGTGAGACTCTATTGGCCGTTGAACTTAAATTTATACATGGTAATTTTCTTCCGGCAAGTGGAAGTCAGTGTTCCAATTCAATCGGAGCGTTGCATGATGGAAATCTACAATTGTGGTATCTGCCAATTGGTTCGAGTATTAATTTCTCAACAAATTTGTTTCGGAACAGGACGGACGAAATTCACTATTGAAAATGTCACACGAACCCGAGTGGTAATCGCCGACAGTAAAATCCACATTCTAGGATCATTCCGAAATATCCGAGTTGCGAGAAATGCCATTTGTCAACTAATTCTGGGTATGAAATCGGATTTATTTACACTTGATGAAGAAGTGTGTTGAGAAGGCTCGCCTATTTTGTACTTGTAGCCGTCTATTGTTGTGTGTAATCTGTCGGTAATGTTGTGAAATGATGTGTAAAGAGTGAGTGTGATGGCATGTCTTCTCGTGACGTACATATTTATATTTGTGAGTTCGCTGCGGGGTGGGAGATATGTGCAATTTCTGCAAATATGCATGTTGAAGCTTACATCAGAGCACCGTATGACCTCTATGTTTTATCATCCAGAATATCCGATCAGTGAGTGGTGATGTATTTGTAGAAAATCAAGCTCTTTAAATTTCTTACAGGCTCACTCGCACATTTTATCTTCTGCTTTTCGTCATCCTTAGGTTCGCCGCCCGGAAAGGTGTACGGAAATATGCGGTCTGTTGCCAGTCGGATGAGCGAGCGATTTTAGAACACTCCAGAATAATTAGATAATGTTGTAGATGCAAGCGGGATCGGCCGATGTGTGTTTGCAGCCACGCGCAATTGCGCATGTGTATACGCGCGTACGAGCTACTTCTCGTCCCCCCTATCCACACGTCTGAAGGTGGAATGGCTCCCTTATATATTAAAATATAGATACATTTATCCTTAGAAGGCTGGCTACGAAATATACAGATGCTTCTTTGGAAGCTGAGTTCCTCGGATACTCTAGGCATTTCTGAATATGCTCTGTAATAGGTGGTGTGTACCCTATGACAATACATGACGAGAAAAATTGTTGCCACTTCTATCAAAATGGCGCCATAAAAGCCTTTGTGTGTATTTAAAAAGCCTGCACCTTCCTTTTCTACATGCCTTAGTTCTGACGTTAGTTGTACTCGGTCTATCCAACTGCACTGCACTCCTAAAGTCTCGGATATTTGCCCACTTGTAACGTACACGTGCATTTTCTGTATAAGGCGATTGTTTTTTGCACATGCCCGGCCCTCAATGGAGTGCAATCGTAGATGACAGGGAGACAACTGGAGAATGGTAGCATACAGGTGTCGATTCTAAAGCAAAGTGCTCTCATAAAAGAGATTTAAGTATCCTTGGGCGCCTTATAGGTGCTTTCTTGGGTGAAATGTATGTATATGCGCGCTCAAATCTTGTCCAACCTCTATACTAATTATATTTGTGTAGGATCTCCCATTTAGATTTAATTGCGTACATATTATGTGCTCTTTAAGTCATGTGAGTCATAAATTAAATCCTGTTTTGAGATCACCCGCCTATACTGGATTGCATTTATGGGTGAGAACACTAAGCATACTTAGTTTCGTCAATACTCAGCGAACGAATACATTGAACATGTTCTAGGTTCAACACGTGTAATATGATTGCATATACACCTACACGTGCCTTTGGAGGTGCATACGTTTGCTTATAGAGAATAAGTATTAACCTAGAACCTGTACCTGACGTTGCAAGTTTCATTCAATCCTTTGTATACTGTTGGGATTTGGTTACTTTTGTGGGCGAAACTGCTCAACCCCATTCTTCGATGGTCGAATTTGTTGTACGTTAACTGTTCCGGCATATTTTCTCAATTCGCAGCCATCATGCGTGCGGTGTTATACGACTATTTTATTCATTATCGTCTAAATCAACGAACACGAGGCACCATGCACTCTCGTGCCGTCGCTTATTAACAGGCTGCTAAACAATTAGCACTTTTAAGGGCCGCGAACACACTTGGTGTTCTCTTTGTACTGGCTGATGTTGTCCATGCTGCGCGTCGTTCTGGCTGATATGTTATCCTTGCTGCGCGTCGTTCTGGCTGATATGTTATCCTTGCTGCGCGTCGTTCTGGTTGATATGTTATCCGTGCTGCGCGTCATTTATAATACTGACTATATCGTAAGTGCAGTAGAACTCGAGTAGTTCACCAATTCAGGAGTAGATAAATTTTCAGTCGCTCTCTTTTGTTGCTGTCTCGCTATAGCGTATTGGCACTCCCCTATACACTGTACGTAGGATGTGGCTGCAAGAAAGTTGACACTGACAATCCCTTTGACATCTTTTACTCTCTTCAAAGGCTTCCGCAATTGTTTAGTTTCGCATTCGCAAGTTGATAATTTGATCATCTCGTACCGCTTGAATATCTGGACCTCTCTATGTGCGGTGAGCATTCTGTAGAAATCGTTCAGAACGGGTGCTTTCGATCTGTCGTATTCAACGTTATCGTAAGTCCCGTGTCGAATCTCTACGTCACAAAACTTTACACGTTTCCGCCGCAGGACAGGTTCCGGTTGCTTAGGGTCTAGCAATGTGGTATTCGATAAACACGGTTCTACTTTCAATTTGTAAGTAAACATTCGTGCAGGTTGAGCGTGAAAAGTCGAACCCAAGCTACCTCGTGTATACAACAGGGTCTCCCCCGAATTATAAATGTTGATCCCCATAGTGAAGCGTACTGTATTTTAAATGTTGTACGGCGCAAATAATAAATGAAAGCAATCGATTGTGCGCTTCATGTTGGGGGCACTAGATATATATATAATAATATAGCCTCATTTCTTTTTTTTTCTTTTTCTGTATTTCATTTTCTTGTTCCATTTTCAGAAGGCTATGATTTTCTCTATATTCAGTATTCATCTCCCACTCTCATAGTCTCACTTCTTGTATTTCTATTTGTTTTTGTAAAAATACATCACATGTATTTACAATCTTACATTGTGCCAGCAATATAGTGAGAACTATTATTTGTCGTATCGGAACAGAAGCAGTTTTATCAGCAAAATGAGAGCACCATGTGTTGTGGACAAATTAAAGAATTGCAGCTGATTGGTGATTATTGGTTTACATGTTTTTAGGGTTTGTTTTTCAAACTCTTAAGAGTCTAATATTTGCAGTTTTTGACAAACTGCTGCACAGCTGCAGTCGCTTAAACACTTCTGTACTCCAGCTCCAGCCTCCTGCTGGTGGTCCTGCAGGCCCTCTCTGAATAGTAAATACTAGATAGAATAATCCTCAACTACTGAGTAAATAGAGTGCCTTCTAAATATATCAGACAGATTGCTGACTGCTGAGTGCTGACTGCTGAGTGCTGACTGCTGATATTGAGATATTCTGACAGGAGAGTGAGGCGACAACACTGAGCCCCTGACTCTCTCACTCGAGTCCTGTCCTGAGTCCAGAGGTTTATGTTTACGTTCAACTTTTTTTGCTGCTGATATTGATTGGAATCAAATTTTCCAAGCCCCTCAGTCCTCACTCCCTCTTGTTCGACTCGGCTGCGGCGTCATCACTATTATGTCGCGGTGTCGATAATATTTATAACTTTATTTTGCTTTTGAATGTACCAAGAAAAAAAACAAGAATAACAAATGGGCTAGTATTCTGCTTTTTTTTTTAAATCACAACTGTATATTGTTTCAATTGAAGGCTATGGAGTATGGTATGATACATTTATATTCATAACAATATTCTCGAAACCGGTGGACTACTGGCCTTGGGGCCTTGGGCCGAGCAACAAATATATGTATATATATTTTTAGAGATAAATAATGCTTTGTTTTTGTTCCAAAAACCATAGCCAACTGAGAAAAAAAACAAAAACAAAGGGCAAAAAAAAATAGTAAATTATGTTCTTTTATACTTTTTAAACCCCAAATACAAAACAAAACAAAATATACAGTCAGTTGTACATATAAACTAGAGATGATGACGTAGTTTCAACTTTTATGCTGCAGCGTGCTCCAAGATTAAAAATATAAATATATTTACTCTTTCTACTACGCTTTCTATTGCTACGTTTTGCCTGTGCGCGATAAACTTTAAACGTAAATGCAAAAGGTTTTGTTTTTTAAGCGTTTAAAAGTATATCGGGGGCAAATCGACAATGAAAAAAATACAAATTTGCACCTGAGAAATTGACCTTTTTTAATGAAAAGGCGATTTGAAACTATCCACAACTGACACAAAGTGAAAAATAGAACAATTCGTGACAGTTAGGCCGCCTCAAATATGTTAACCTATTTGTAAACCCGAAGGACTATATTTAAGACAAACTTTGAACGTAAACGTTTGTTTATTATTATTATTTATTCGCGTTTTAACGAGAAACGTAATGAGGTTAGGTCAGTAGAGCGTGAGAGAGTAGTGAACTAGTGATAGTCTTATTTTTTAGTATTGTTTGGAATTTTAGATTTTAGTGAGCCTACAGCATACTGACCATAGAGATTAGAGAGAGTCTCATACTAATATTCTCTGCGCGAGAGATATTTGGATTTTGGAGTCTATTATATATAAAGTGCAAATTCGCTAGCTATTTTTTGTTTTTTAGCAACAACAGTCTTCTTTTACGGTACTTTTTTTCAGAATAAAGATATATACTTTATAGATAGAGAGTCTGCACTCTGTTCGTCGATGACGAGTAGTCGAATCTCGATGTCCAATTGTCCATTCGCTTTTTTAAAACGGATTTCGGGAATGAACTCTTCACTCTCCTTCAGCAGGGTCCCATATACTATAAAGATGGACAGTTCACCTCCATAGCGCGAGCTCACACAAAATGTTCTTCTCAGCCAGATACAGTGGGACTGCGTCATTGCAGAAATTAGTACTGGTTTTTATTTTTATTTGATTTGATTTTTATAAACAAAAATATTTTTTTAAATAGAAATAACAAAAATAATAAACAGTGGGTCCGCGACTCCTCGCAACTTGTCCCTGACCGTCACAAAAAAAGGGGCATCTATCGAGTAGATATCCATAGCGTCCATCTAATTGACCGAAAGGCTTTCGGCCGATCCGACCGAATGTTTGCTACCTTTACTCTCCTATAAAGTCCAGGCCTAAAAAACAGACCGTATTTTGTACGTATTATAGAGATTGATTTTACATGTTCATATTTATTTTCATTTCCCGTTTTAATTTTCCTTAAGGCTTCACAGGGAAGAAGTCTGTCATAGCCATCTACTTCTTATTTGTTTGTACAACTTGCGTCGCATTCGTTGTAATTCTTTACGAAGCTCGAGTACTTTCATATTAACTCTTGCTGAGAAGAACTGTGCGTATCTCAAACCATCCTCAATCCATTTCGTTGCTTCATCATGTTTGTATTGCATTATTATTGTAAAAATAGTAAAATAAATACAAACGATCTCTTGTTGAACTTTCACACTTCACAGTGTTCAGTACATAACCAGTTCACAGAGAGCAATTTTCTTTTTTTTTAAACAAATATAAGCAAGTATGACATATAATGACACACATAAATACATCATAGCTAACCTCATCCAATTTTCTGGGGTTTTTTTTAAAAACCCTCTATATATCGAATAAATTCACGTTTACGTTCAACTTTTATTCCATATACGGTCTTTTTTATGTGCGTAGGTGCACTTTACGGTTCTAACAATTTAAGTGTGTATTTCTTTCAGTATACGAATTAGTCCTATAAAAAAACTTAGGTAGGTCCTCCCTATCGCATTATAACCTTTACTAGTAGTACATTTATAGTAGTATTTGCTAGTATTATATTTATAGTAGTCTTTACTAGTATTATAATTGTAGTGGTATTTACTAGTAGTATATTTATAGTAGTATTTGCTAGTATTATATTTATAGTAGTATTTACTAGTATTATATTTGTAGTGGTATTTACTAGTAGTATATTTATAGTAGTTTTTGCTAGTATTATATTTATAGTAGTATTTACTAGTACTATATGTATAGTAGTGTTTACTAATTTTATATTTGTAGTTGTATTTACTAGTAGTATATTTATAGTAGTATTTGTCTAGTATTATATTTATAGTA